TTAACATAGAGGGGCAACTGAAGTCATGGGAGTGATGCGATTCACAGGGAGCAAGTGCAGGGAAAAACGGTAAAGGGCAGAATCTTGAAGAACTTCCACATTTATTGGGTTATCAGAAAAGTCATGACACATTTTTGCAATGAAAAACAGAAAAAATACGTCATGACTTTTCTGACAACCCAATATAAGAGAGAGAAAAAAAACCCTGAGGGGTAGAAATAGAAGTGAGAGGAATGAGATGAAAAGAGGCTGGTAAATTTGCCAATGACATCACTGGTGACTGTTCATGAAAGTTTCAGTTATTGGGTTGTCGGAAAAGTCATGAAGCATGTTTGTAACAGATGACACTAGTTCATTTTTGGAAGTACTCGAGTCATTTGCATCTATGTTATTGCTATGTCATTTGACAGCCGACAGTTCTAGTTTCATTCTAAAAAAAAAAAGACTGAGCAATTTGGTTGAGTTTTGGAGATTCTACAACAAATTGAAGATGGAAGACTAAACTGTGCATTTTTGCCATATTTTACTGTTTTACTTCCATAAAGGGAAGAACGCGCGTCAAGCTTGTGAAAAGTTGCAAACAGTTTATGGTGACAATGCTCTACAAGAACATCAGGGCCAACGATGGTTCACAAAATTCCGTGCTGGTGATTTTGATCTCAACGATGCTCCTTGGACAGGAAGGCCCACTGAGGTGGATGATGACAAAATAAATGCATTGATAGAGTCAAACCCACGTTACATGATGACACGAGAGATTGCAGAAACATTGAACATCCATCATTCAAATGTTCACGACCACCTGAACAAGCTGGGATACGTAAGCAAGCTCGATAGTTGGGTTCTGCATCAACTCAAAGAAGTTCATTTGACGGCACGTATAAACATCTGCGATATGTTCATTAAATGTGAGGAAAACGATCCTTTTTTGAAGCAACTGATAACTGGTGATGAGAAGTGGATTGTTTTTGTAAAAACAAAACAAGATTGTTTTTGGTGTTTGCACACCATTGTTGTAATGGTGTGCAAACAGTCTTGGTCCTGACGTGATGAGTCACCTCAGATGACAATGAAAGCAGACATTCATCAGAGGAAGGTTATGCTCTCAGTGTGGTGGGATTTGAAAAGTGTTGTGTTTTTCAAACTCCTACCAAGGAACCAAACAACCAATTCGAATGTGTACTGTCGGCAAGTGGACAGTTTGAACAAATCCATCATCCAGAAACATCCAGAGCTTGTTAATTGTAAANTATCATAATTAACACTCACTACCTGAAACTAATCAAGGGTAAAAGAGTTTATTAATACAAAACCTTACCTTTCATTCCCGCTCTCTTTGTATCATCAATGGTTAAAAGTATTTCTACAGCACTCTGAGCATTATCAGATAACTTTTCTTCATCTACAGGCCAAGGGATATCTACAAATACAAATAAGCTTGTTGATCATTGCTCAAAATAATACACAGAGATAAATGAATCTATAGTAATAGGAGAAAAATAATCACCTCTTTTCAGAATATTCTGGAATACTTGTGGTGGTGTTTCATCATTGAAAGGGGGGATTCCTGTTAGAAACTCAAACAAGCAAACTCCAAGTGCCCACCAATCTACTGCAGGACCTGGGATTTAAGAGGAAGTAGCTGAGCTTGCAAGCATTTTCTACAAATGTTTGATGAAGTAACATATTAATACATGGACATTTGGGCATATTCAAGGTCTTCATTTGCTAAGACTTTCTGTTGGCTTCACAAGGTACAACAAGTCAAATCACCTTCATTTAGGCAGTATGGCAATTACTTTCCTTCTCTATTTTCCAAGAAGTTTAAATTAGCAATTAACACAGCTAAAGAAAAGTTAAAGCTACCTTTTGTCATTTATTAATAACCTCTGATATTCTGGAATACTCATTTGTTCTAAATCCTAAAACACAACCAAGGGAATGCATTTAACCGAAAGATTATTCTCTAAAATAGAGTACATCTCAATTTCAAATTGGGAAACAATAACATTTAGATGATTCTACAATATATCTCACTTATTTTACAAAGGTATGAGATGAGGTAGCAACATTTATACTAATTGGAGGATAGCCTGGTAACTAGGGAAAGCCTTACTTACCATGTTTTCATGTAGCTTTATTCCTTTTAAGATCACAGAGGGACAAATTAGCTTAATAAAGAATATTCACTTAAATTATGGCTTGAGGAGGTAATTAGGAGATGTCTTAATAAATAAGTAAAACTGATTTCTAAATAATATCTTTATCGAAAGCATCATTTATATACAAAGATTTTTTGTTTTTCTTTGTTTTTAGCTGAGCCATCCTGCCGCCTGTTGGCAGCTCAGCGGCAGCTCAGCTCAGGCTGGACTTGAACCGCTGTTGCTCAGAGCTCAAACCTTTGAGCGAGCTCTTAACCAACTGAGCCACTCAGCCGGCCCTCAAAGATGTTTTAGAGGATTATTTTAAACATGATTTTATAATCTGGCTTATACTTTTGTTTAGTTTTATGAATAAAGTATTTATTAAGCAAAGGTTAACTTTAGTCCAAAAAAGGTTAACTTCAATATAAATTTAGAATAGAGATTCTAGTCTAGTGCTAAATTTGCCTGGAAATTATTCTTTAAATTCAATTTTACAAAATTCATTATTGTGATTAAACAACTGCCACCATTCCATTTTAAAACAAGTAGGAAAGCATTGTGGAATCTGCCGTTAGAAGAAATAATTGCATGCATATAGTGCCTTTTCATCTG